GGGCGAGAATAAGAGGGTGCTGATCTCCTAATTGCCACGGCAAGGGGGGCGCTAGCGGGATCACGGCCGCTCCTAGGCCCCACTCCATGACAGGGTAGAATTCTTTCTGCTTTCGATTGTAAAGAATAAGTGATGACTTTAGATAAAGCAGAGTTAGTTTATAGTCAAAGTCTAGAGAAGCATTGTGAAAGTGTTGTGATAGTGATAGAGACCCCCCAGGTCAGATTTGGATATGGTTGGAGGTTTCTAATATTAATACCACCAGGAATTGTAACACTTTGGGAAATTTTAACATTTTGAAATGTAGAACTAAGAACATATATTATTAATTAAACGGCCTTTATTTTATTGGACAGGCTATCCAGATATTCCCACCATATAACCAGTTAAAAGAACAAGATTTGATGCTGTTATACTTGTTTGGGGTTTCTTTTTGTTATGAGGATATAGTAGAATTGGTCATAAGAAAATAAGGTTGGATGAAATTATCTCAGGTTGATTTACTTTAAATTTAATGGAAGGATATTAAAAAAGATCTGTAATTAAAGTTCTTGTTTTCAAAAGGAAAAGCTTTGAACAGTTAAGGAACTATTTAGTAAAGTAACCTGAAGAGTTAAGGGACTCAAATGTGGAGGAGGCTTAAAATTTAAGTCAGCAGTGCAAAAGCTGTCTGGCATTTCCATCCTAAGTGGGGGGGAGCAGAATGGACAGATGGACAGACTTGCCGAAAGGAGTATTAGATAGAGTTGAATAAATAACCACCTCAAAGACAGTATTAAAATAAGTAAAAAGAAATAAATACAGAGAGTAGTAAAAGGAACTAATCAAAAAAGAATCCTGTCTCAGGAGTCAGAAAGTTGTATAGTTAAAATAAGAATCACCAAAGTCAAGTCGATTTACACTTTGCAAAGGATATTAAATTAATTAATAAAAGGTTAAATGCATAAAGAGAACAAGAAAAGAAATGGCAGCACTGTACATTAAGGATGGGGTAGATGGTGATAATATAGAAATGACCAAACAACTAAATAAACACTGTACAGTCTTTACTGAATACTGAAGCAGTGTTGCCCAGGGGGAGGATGTCTAATGGGAACATTATTACAGCCAAGGTGGAAGGTAAAACTTGGAGTTTAATGCACTCAGGTCAGTAAGGACTAAGGAATCTCCACCCCAGAATTCTAGAAGAATTGACACAGGAAATGCAGATATATTAGCAAGTACTTTTTAAAATAAATGTCAAGTTGGAATTAGTACTCTATGACTGGCAATTAGCAAATGTATTTTTTCTAATATTTAAGTTGGGAGGGAAGGGATATGGACAAATATGTTTAACTTCAATAGTATACAAGGCTTTAGAAAGGGTTGGTTGTGTTAATCTGAAGTCAGGCATAAGGCAGGCCAAGGTAATTTCTGAGAGACCTACTCATTCAGAGAGGCATAAACTTCCTTAGATAACAGCCTCCTTTATCATATTTTTAGCACAAATTCTGAGGGAAGGAATAATTAAAGATATTGGACATAGTTAGAAAATGGGTAAAAACACAGCATGGCTTTATCAAGGGTAGATGTTTTTGCCAGATTAACTTGATATCTTCCTGTGATTACTTTTCTTCAAGAAACTTGTTCATAGATCTAACCTGTTTGGACTTCAGTAAATTATTTCATGTGTCAAATAGTTACACATGAAGAAATTGTTAATGAGGATGGAAAGGATGAGGGAATTTTAAGGTGGACAAGGGACTAGCTAGACAGTGGTGACTGGCTTAATGCTGAAAGGGGAAATATTGAACAGGAAAATGCTGCTTCAGGAGTTCTTCAACAATCCGTCTTGGAGCTGATTTTTAACACTTTCAAGAGTGATCTTGGCACAAAAGTAGAACTGTGCTGATGATGAAATCTGGTAACAGTGCAAAGCTGGGAGGCATTCTCAATGCAGAAAATACCAGTCAGTATAGGAACAGAAACTCTTGCAAGAAGAACTGAATGACCTTTAGGACTGTAATAGTAGCATGAGCTGTCATTTAGTAGAAGAGTACAAGGTCATACACTTAAAGGCTAATAACAAGAATTTTTGCTATAACCTAGGAGTTAATTGGGTAGAAATGATATGGGAAGAAAAAGTCACTGTCATAGGATAACTGACCACCTTTCCCCCTTTTCTTCTTCCCCCCCATCCCAAATCAATGTGGTGCAGGAGACAAATACAATCTCAGGATGTCAGGAGAAGAATTTCTAGTGGAGATAGGGAAGCACTAAGACAATTTTATAAGGTCCTGATGAGATCTCATTGAAATACTTCTGGTTTCTTTGTATTCATGAAGAATTAATCAAACTTAAATTGGTACAGAGAAGTGCTACTAGGAATATTAACAGATTATTTTGAGAGCAGACAGAAAGCTTGATTTGTATTTGTCCTATCAGAAATAGGGCTTAGAGGACTTATGGTTGTTCACTATAAATATATCAAGGGCCTAAATAGCAGGGAGTGAAAAGAGCTGTTTAACTTAAAGGACAATGTTGGCCCAAGAGCATATATATGATGTAACGTATATAGGTGTAAATATATACGGGTAAATACATTTAGATTAGAAACTAGAACACAAAAGAATGAGGTCTGGATAACAACTCCAATAATAATACGGGGCAGAAAACTTAACTGGCTTTATGATGGAGCTTGACTGTGCTTATAAATGGAATTTGTATGGTGTAGTTCTCTGTAATAGCACGGAACTGGACTTGAAGGGCTGGAAGGAACCAATGAAGTTGGTTATGCTTCTTGATACAATATATAAGTGCATAGTATGAAATTTCTTATGTTAACCAAGGAGAAACAGATTAATAAAAGACATGTAAATTAATGCTTTTCTTTGTGAGACTGAGTTTAATGCTTACTTTATGAAAGATCCTAGAAGTGTTAATACAACAAATAATTATAATTATGTGGACTTGAAAGTAAGATAATGTTAGTTCCATTAAAGTAAGATGTGTATTGAGTTATTTAATTTGAATGAAAGTAACAGCAACTACCTTAATTATTCAGTAAACATTATTAGGTTATTTGAGAAAGTAGTTGTTGAAGAATCCTTAGTTTAAGTGCGTGTCTCCAAAGAATCTATTAAAATTTAATTCTTGGTTAGATATTTAAACAATAAAAACAAAACCTTTTCATGATTAATTTTGGGCTTGAGTACTTATGGTTGTCCTTTCTGAAAGAAGAAAAAATAAAAATACACTGAAGTTTTAAAACTTTTAGGGGACAACATGCAACTTGTCTAAGCTTTTCTGTATTTGGCAGCAGATTAAGTTATCTGGTGTCACAAAGTCTTTGTTAATAATTTAAAATGTACCTTACACTTGAGTTTAAATGTAAAACTCCTATATCATATAACATATTAAATTACTCTAAATATTACAGGATGAGTTTACACTGCAATATTATGACTATTTCTGAATCTATCAAGTATATTTGCATATTCAGTTTGTCTTGCACAAATAGTTTGAAAATCACAGATGTCAAAAATGTAAATTTCAAATGTACAAAACCCACAAAATGTACATTTTAAAGTTTTTAAATAACACTTTACTCTCTGTAAAATACATTTCCTTCTGAGCAACTGTCACAGTGAATGGCTTACAAGAGATCCCTAATGAGATACTTTACACTGAGCCATTCCCTTCTGTTTGCTAGGAGATAGCAGAAAGCCAGACGACATTAATGTGTTAAAAATTGACTTAGTCTTCCATTAGACTTCCACTAGTCACCTACCTCTATAGATGTATCATACAAGTAAGATTTTTTGTTACAAGTTATATATGTAAAAATGTACATATTTTGTGAATTGTAGGCTACATTATCATTTCCATCTCTTTCGAATACCTAATATATAATGTATCTTTAAAAAAAATTATGAATTTTGCTTCTTCCTTCAGTAGTTTATTTAGATAACAAAGAACAATAGGAACTATAGTATAGGAAAATTATATTTACATGCTTGCTGTTTAACAGATTTTGCTTACTAGCACATAAAGTGTAGTTGTTGACTATTTTCTGTCAGTAGGTAGAAATTAAACAAGACTTCAGCTTTCTGTTTCCTTCCAAACACTACCGTTACTTATCCACCTGGGTCACTATATATCTATAGTTACTTATATAGATAATCGTCTGTAGATTTGGGGGAGTGGGGGACAGAAGAAAGAGAGTTTTCAGTGGAATGCAACAATGCTATTTGGTAGAAATCTCAGAGATTTTGTTAATTTCAGGAACTGTTTATAAACCAGGTGAAACTTAGCAGGATTCATTCAGGGAGCGTTTAAGCTAAACAAAGACTACTTGTTTTTATTATGTTTTTTGGACAACCATATTTGCTTATATATGTCCAGTCTGGCTGCCCAGCATGACCCTGGGAAGAATCACCTTTTTCTAATCTTTATATTGAGGTGAAGTCATCTTCTTACAATGCCTTTGTAATATGAAACTATTTTGTCTTTGAACTGTATTATCCTAATTGCATTCATTTTAATCTTTTTAATATTTCAGTCACGGAGTGTGGACAAGCAACATGCTGTACTTAATTATGATGCTTCTACAGATGAACATTTGGTGAAGGATTTGGGCAGCCTAAATGGGGTGAGTTAACAATGATCTAAAAAGAGTCCCCTTTAGTCCTTAGTTAATATATTTTGTATGAAAACAAAATGGTAATTTACATTTTAAGGCTCTTGAGGGATTGCTTCAGCAGCGTTCTTTAAGTGTAAGCTCTTGCCTTTTAATGAATATTTTTAAGCATGTTGGTATGGCTGAAGTAACTATTTTTTAAAATGTAATCACTGTTTTTCACATTTTAATAGACTTCCATACATTGCAGTATTAAATGGCTGTAGATTTTAGCTGCAACTAAACTTAAAATCTACAGTATAGAGCTTCTATACTTAAATAAAATGCTTTCAGCTGTGACTCTTAAGAGGGCACTGAGGAAAAATGGCTGGCATCTTTTGGCTGCACTTCTGTTTGTGTAATATTAATAACAAGTTAAATCAGTGTTGCCCAAGTGATTTAAGAAAGAAAAAGAATACTCAGTTTTCTCAGTCTGCCCAGCATAGATCTCATAGTCTTATGTTTCTTTTTGGAACAGGGTAGGCTTTTTCAAACCAGTCAGGTTCTTTCCACTTTGTTCTAATTGACACATTAGAATCTATAGCACAGCCATTCAAAACAGTCAGGATCCCAACAACAAATTAGAAATGAGTTGCCTGAAATGTTTGTGCCCTTTGAAGAAATGCATACATTTGATCTTTGAATAATGAGTTCCAAAATTGGTTCAAACATATTTTGTTACACACTAGTTATTTTGTTTCTCATTATTAACTAATACACTAAATTAAAGTCAAGCTCAAAACATAGTTTGAGTTGAGTGCTCAGTAGTTACTGAATGAGCCCTTCACTTATTTTATTCTCCAAAACAAATTTAGCTCTGGTAATCACTAGATAAGCCTTTCCATTTTCAGTAGCTTGAATTTAATAAGACCTGTTTCATAATTGACTTGGTTTGAAACCTGCCCTTGCATCTTTTAAGAATAGTTACTCTCATACTTAATTTTCCCCCCCACACACACCCTAGTATCGTGCCTTCGATCAGGGGTGTCAAAAGATCCAGTCCCCAGACCAAATCTGGCTTCACAGAGCCCTTTCACACATCCGATGGGGCTCCCACAGGGGACAAGAATTTGGGAGTGGGACAAATTCCACATTGGGAGTACGTGTCAGTGGCAGGGGGGTGAGCAACTGCTGCTAACTGCCCTGTCTCCACCCCTTTCACTGTCACTGAGTCTGGGTCCTACCCACAAAGAACCCTGCAGTCTGGATCCAGCAAGAGACAGGGGAACAGGGATCAATAGAGTTTTGACACCCCTCCCTAAAACAGTTTTTCACATTGGTACATATCCTTTTTGTTCAATTTCTTCTTCTTCATTAAAAAAATCCTTCTTTTATAGTCCTTACACTTTACCCATCCCTTGCTTTAACTTTTGGCCATATCTTTCTTCCTTATCTCAACTCTTCTGTTTCATCATTAGACCTGAAGTTGGGTGAATACCAACTTTCTCTGATATTACAACATCACTCTTCAGTGACATGCCAAAAATTGCTGCATGTAAATGAGCTGTATCCAAGCTCTTTTCCACCTTACAGTCTATTAATCACTGAACTAAAAAGTGTGTGTGTTTGTATCAGTATCATAATATAGCAGAATGTAAGTATCATTGACTAATTTCACTTGTGTATGGTCTCAGCCAGTAGTATACTTGGTATTGTTAAATGGTCAATTTTCCAAAAACAAAAACAACTGTGAGCAAATTAGTAAAAGGGAAAATTAGACTAATTCAGACTATTTTAGACTAGTGACACTTCCCTGTTTTTGGGATGTGTTTTAGGTTTACACAATTAGGTGTGCGAAGTTTATGTGGAATAACAGCTTTTGCAGCCTACAGTTTTTGGCGGACAAAGGATTAGGAAGATGATGCCAATTCATGTGGTGTCCGTGAATACAGACTAGGTGGGCAAGACAGTGGATAAGAGGCCAACACCCTGGCCATGCTGTATTTATCAGCTACAGTGACCAAAAAGAGCCAATAGCTGATAACGTCGTTTCTTCTTTTATTGGTGCCAATCCGGTAGTCAACCAATATATAGGTGCACCCCTACCAAAATATATAAGTATTTAGAATTTATTTTATTACTAGTCAGTTGCACGTCAGGAATGACAGGGTTGGGGGAAGCATACGGGGATGGAGCCCTGTGACTGCCCCCCCCCCCATCTGGGCCTGCTCCACCTTTACCTCCTGCTGCTTGGGGTCTGGGCCCGTTTCCCCCTTCCCTGCTGCAGCAGTGGGTGGAGGGGAGGAGTGGGCATGGGCCTGGGCCCGATGTGGGGGAGGACTGGGCCTGAGGATGTGGAGAAGCCAGCCCGCCGTGGTGGGGGGAGCAGTGGGCCTAGGCCAACCCAGCAGCGGCAGGGGAACAGGAGGAGTGGGTTCAAAGCTAACAGCGGAGAGGAGCGGGGTGGGGAAAGAGTGGGCCCGGGCCTGAAGAGGGGAGCAGGCCCAAGCCTGAGCTGGGGGAAAAGCTGGCTCGCTGCGGCAGTGGGAGGGAGTAGTGGGTCCGGCCTGACACAGCAGCAGCCTTGGAAGGGGAGCAGCGAGCCTCTTCCCCCTCCACCACCCTCCCTCCTCCCGTCAGCTTCAAGCCCACTCCTCCCATTCCTGCACTGCCGCCAGGTCGACCCAGGCCTGCTGCTCCCCCAGCTTGGGCATGGTCCTCTTCCACCCCCACATGGAGCCTGGGACCCCTTCTTCCCTCCCCCCACCACCATCTCCATGGCGCACCCACTATTCCCCATACCTGTATGGGGCCTGCTCGTCCTCCCAGCACCACTGCCGCCGCCACCTGCAAGGAGTAAGAGTGGGGGGGAGCAGGCCATCTCTGGTGGCTTGGCCCTGCCCCCTGCTCCATCCTTGCCACTTTCAGGGAGCAGAGCAGGGGGTTTAGGGTCCCCTCTGTTCTCTGTGTCCACACCATCATGGCAGCGCTCCACCAGCCACCAGCTCCTGTTGGAATGCTTGTTTGCACTCTAATTGGCTGTTTGTCAGCCAATCACAGTGCGAATAAAGCATTATAGACAGACAGACAAACAGACTTAGGCTTTTATAATATTAGAATTATATAATGAGTGAGGTACTGTTAAGCTTCCAGATTGCTGTAAAACCATAAATATAAAAGATTGTGTTCAATGGATACCTATATATATAGATATAGATATATCCATATCTATATTTATATATAGTTGCATTTCATTTTAATTGTGGAAAAACACCCATTTTGGGGGTTTTAATTAGACTTTGGGATTTTTAAACAGAGAAAACTAGGACCTCTGGTAATTATACCATGAGTGTAATTTGGAGCAGTTTAGAGTAAGGTGGTCTTGTAAGTCATCTTTTGACTCATAGGTCTGCAGGCACCAAAAAAAAAATTGAATTTCATATTAATACTATTAGATTACGTTTGCATGGGACTGAAATCTTTTCTTCCAAAGAATAAAGGAGTTTGGTGGTTTTGCAGAACTAGAGAAGCAGCACCACAAAATATGCTCTTTCATCTGATATAAGGAGCTTGCATCAGGTTGTGAGTGTTACACAAATAATAAATTCATGTGGAACCAATGGACTTTTCCTTGGGCCCCATTAGTACCTGAGTCTAATAACATTCATAATATAACTTTTTCAGATGGGTGAGTGAATTAACTACAAGTCCTTTGGGATATGTCTGAAGTATAGTGGCAGCTTCCCATCTTCTCCTACTCTTATATTCCATATCTAAAAATGTTCTGCTAAGACTTGGGTTTGAAGTATGCAAGTGGGTTTTGGGTCTTCTGTCTGGGAGTTCCACTGAAGTGAGAAAATACCATTTCTGTCCTACCCTTAATTTTTGCTTTAAGACTAAAACAACTCTTCACAAACAATCAGCTAAATATTTATTTTGCTGTCAATGCATATGTCTAGTTTGTCCTCTTCATTACTTCAGAGATTGCAGATATTCTTTGTGCTATATAAACAAGTGTGCTTTCAGTGTTTATATTAGGAAACTTGACCTTTGTGAAGGTCTGAAGAGGTCCTCTCTATTTGCGTGGGTAGTAAAATCTATTGCACCTTATTATGAATAGATTAATTTTCTAGTTTATGGAAGTAATTCTGGAGAAATATAATGGCTTCTAAAACTAATTTTACCATATTTTTGCATCTAAGTGCCCTGTGAATTTTACAGTCTGCTGGCATTATTTTTAGACTTGGAAGCTAGATAGTATGGCAATGAAGCAATATAAAGTTCTGTAAGAATACTTTGGTTTTGTTATTTTCACCAACAGATTTATACCTTGTTAATTTACTATATAGAGACTATAAGGCCCCCTGTACACATTCGGGCAAAGTTATGATTGGATCTAATGTATGATCCACACAATTGTACCTCCTGCTATGCCACAGTGTATGGTAGGAGGCGTGATTGTGGGATTGTACATTAGATCCAATCACACCTTACTGCTGGTGTAGGGGGACCCTGGTCCTGGGCTCCCCCTGAATTGGCAAGAAGCAGTCTCCCACAGCTGGGAGCCCCTTCAGATGCAGGGGTCGTGCATAGCTAGGACTGAGAGTGGCTCTTGGTCCTTGCTGCACGACAGCAGCTGAGACCAGTGGCACAGCCGGGACAGAACCCCATCAGGTATGCAGGGATGCTTGGTCCCAGCTAGCTGTGTGGCACAGCCGGGACTGAGAGCCCTGTCAAGTATGAGACTTTAAGTGCCAACTGTGCATGCACACCCCCTGACCCTGGGGGGTCTCACTCTGGCTGTGGTGCACTCCTGCAGCTGACAGGGCTTGTAGCCACAGGGGAGACCCCATTACATGTGGAAATTAAGCTCAATATCAACCAGCTATAAAGTTAATGCACATTTTTGAGGTTTGACATTATAGATGGTTGGAGATTTTTATGGTATGATAAGTACTTTGCATGTGTAGCTGGTCTTAAGGTAATTGCACATTTAATCAGTTAATTGCACAGTTAATTAGTTTATTGCACAATATGTGTAATGTGTAGAGGGGGCCTAGCAATCATGAATATTGGCACCACAGTTCTACATTTGTTCTCTTCATCACTATAAGTCTTTAGTGTCATCACCTCTAAGCAAAATAAATAAATAAATAAGTGATAAAGTTTAATTTTCCCTCTCCCTCTTCCTCCCATCTCTTGCCTTCAGCACAGTGTCTAACAGTTATGAATTGCTGCATCTTGGCAGAATTCTAAATGTGAGGTGTAGATTTCTGGAGCAAGGCAAGCAAGCAGTCTTTAGCTAAAACTTGTAACATGGTATATATTAGGCCCATGGACTGGATCCAGTGGAGCTACCAGTGGAATACTAGAAGTTGAGGGCATGCAGCAGAGGCAGTGAAACACGGGGTGGCAGTGGTGTCCATAGCAGTGCCAGCAGCAGAGCACACAGCAGCAGTGGTTCCAGCCTCTGCCATGTCTCCTGTGATAAAATTAGAGCTACTGCTGTGGCATAAGGTACTCAGTGGCAGTAGCTCCAGCAGAGGGAGTGGAGCTGCTGCCATGTGTTCTGCTGCCTCCCTGGTCACTACATGCTCCACTTCTGCCGCTGCTGCTTCTGGCCTGCAAGGAGCCCCATGGTCCAAATCCAGCCAGGGTGCAAAGCGAGTTAGCCATCCCACCCCACCCCTGGTCTATATTACATGTCTGTGGTATGGGGGGAGATGAGGAAGGAATTCTTTTTTTGTTTTCTGTTTTGTCTTTAACTACTTTGATACTTTATGAAATATCTTTCTGCCACTTGACTGATGATAGGGTAAATGAAATGCCTAGAGTAAGTTAGGATTTCTTAAATAGCCTTGGCAGTGTAAGAGTGATTATTCTAGCCTTGATGGTCTAGAAATTATGCGAGAAACAAGGATTTCTTAGTTTACAAGCTTTCAAATGCAAACAATTTGATCACATTCCCCTGGCTCCTTGTGATCTGACCTGAGGAAGAATGTCTTGCATTTGAAATGCGTGTCTAACTTTATCCTAAATACATAATTGCTCCAATAAAAGCTGTCACCCCAAGAAATCCTTAAATAACCTTAATGTTGATTATAGCCATGGCTAGGGGGGAAAACCCACTTCCAAGACACCCACTGTTTGAGAGAACAACATATTGTTATAATCAGTAATCCTAGTCAGCAAATACTCTTAACAAGATTAAAATGGTAATGAGCTTTACAAGGTTAGTCTGATTATGCTAACCTGATTAAGTCTTTTACTTCTTTTCTGAAATAGTTAGACAGGTAATATCTCAAGAATACTGTTTAGTTCACCAAGAAAATAATCCATCATCAATCAACAAAATTATGTGGTACTGTAACTTCTTGTATCAAGAGATTTATGTTGATGCCTTATTACATTTTGAATTATAATATCTTTCTCCCCTTTTTTATTTTTGTAGACATTTGTGAATGATGTGAGGATTCCGGAACAGACGTACATTACCCTGAAGCTTGAAGATAAACTGAGATTTGGATATGATATCCTTCTATTATAAAAATATGCAATTTTTGCTATATGTTTGTACTATAAAATATTGAACTGGTCAGTTAACTGATCCTAAAAAGATCTTTTAATATTTATTAACAGTAAATCCTCAGGTTTTATTTTCTACCCAATTAGGAAAATATCTAAGTAGGCAAGACTAGCTTGCAGTTATAGAAACATTATGCCCAGTTGCAATCAAGAATAGACTGAGGAAACAGCTATAAAAAAGGGGTAAAGAAAATAATTTTAAATAGCTTGACTGCTGCTGCATAACAGTATTTTCCATTATCAGCCATTAACTCTTTGAGATATTTAACAGGGAATATTAAGATATGTAATTTAGGTGGCAAGTGAGTAGACAGAAGTACAGCAAGTTAGAAGCAGCACTGAACAGTCCATCTTATGTATTGAGGAAAATAAGGGCAAAATTAGCTAGACAGTATGTCCTAGGAAATGGTTCATAGCTGACACAGTATTTCACATAAATACTTTAAACTCTAATTGGAAGACAAACGTGAAACATCAGTGAACTAATTTTTGGATAACCATTTAACACCAAATAATTTATATCTGGACATGGCAAAGAAAAATCTGTAAAAGGGATGATGAAAAAGTGCTGTATTCCTGTTTCCTATCTGTGACAGTCATCCAAATATAGCTGAAGCTGTGCTTCTTTATAGAAGTTGGGGTATGGAATCATAAGGAGATAAATAGGTTATGTAGATCAGTGGTCTCCAAAGTGGGGTGTGTAAGACAATCGATTGGGGTGTGGGAAGAAAATATTAGAACTTATATTTATATAAGTATGCATATATTGGGGGTGCATGCTCAAAAATTTTTTTACTGATAGGGGTGCGTGGTCAAAAAAAGTTTGGAGACCACTGATGTAGAGAACCCAAATAAACACTGTTATCTACAGAATGATGAGCTCAGACTGAGGCATGCATGAAGTTCAGCCAGAAAATAACGCCTCCTGCTTTATTTTTTCCTTCAGCCAATTGGTATTGGAAAAATATTGAACTTGAATGAAAAATATGTACATCATCAATGAAAACAGTTTTATTCAGTAGGGCCTCCTCATTCAGTGGCCTTTTTCCACTGGTGAACAAGGTTATGTACCCCAACATTGTAAAATTAATTGTTGCGATTGTTGTGCAGCCACTGCAGAACAGCCTCCATCACTTCACTGTCTTCTCAAAAATGTCACTGCAATAGTTTGTCACATAGTGACTGTTGTACAGTATTGGGATACATGCCCTTGTTCACCTGTGGAAAAAGGCCATTGACGGAGTAGGAGACTACTGAAAGATAGCTGTGTGTTCTGTTCAGCTATCTTTCAATAGGGACTTACACGTTTTGCAGGCAAGTCTAATACTTTTTCCAGTAATATTTGGCTGAGGAAAAAAAAATAGCATGTAATACTTTCTGACTGATCCTTGCACATCCAGAGTACAGACCCATGTATCCAGTCCTCTTAAAAGGCTTTCTGTGATGAGTATACTATCTTTTTAACTGTCGGAAGGTCTACACTATCTGAGCCTTCAAGAGGTCAAGAAGCAATAATGAATTACATGTTCCTTTTGTATCCCTTTCTTTCATTTTTCCCCTTATTCTAATCATTCCTTTTTTTAAAATGGGCTTTGTGCCTTTCTTCATAGTGTTTTGTATCTAGATAGCACTTAAGACAAAAGTAGGTGTTGAAATGCAAAAGAAAAATATACTAGTATTGATAAAGGACAGACCCTGTTACACCTATTAGGTGTTTAAATGTTCATTGTACCGTGCTTGAGTCCCTGAAAAAAGGAAGTTAATGCAAAAGATGGGTGGGGCGCCTTTCCTTTTCTGCTTTTTGTCTGTAATGCTAATATAAACATGTTTTACAAAAAAACAAAATGCATTAAAGGTTTTTCAGGGATGCAACCAGGGCAGAATGGATTTATGCTATGTACCTAGTATGCAGAATAGGATCTGACCCTAATAATTCTGTTTCTTAACTTTATTGCTATTTGTGTCTCTCATTGGATGGGTTTAGTGGCAATATTCAATATAAACTGTTGTCTTTGTGGGACTTCAGAAAACTTGTTAGTGAAGGAATAATCAGCTAAAAAGAGTAAAGATGTTTACAGTGTAAAAACTGACTAATATTGCTTCCTTTCTCCTATAGCAATACACGCTTTCCTGAACTATAGAGTCAGTGAATACAGTAGTGCTTTATGATTTGAGAATAAGTGTGTATGTCAAGCTTCTGTCTAATAATTCAGCTAAAATGATGCATTTCATTTGCATCTCTTTCCCAGAGCTGTGTTTGTCTTTTGTGGAGAAACTATCCTCTTAGCTCAACTTCCCTTTTCATGGTTCCCTACTCATGGCAGTATCTAATACCCCTGCAGGCTTTAGGGGACAATCCAAGCTGAAAAAAGGTAGACAAAAGGCTTTCATCTGTTTATGGTGTGTCTGTCCCATTGCGGAGTTTGGCTGGCTCTGTAGTATAATGCAGTTCCCTGTCTCTACATCCCTACCCCAGCTCTTGCTCCCAAGCCCTTTCCACGTTGCCTTTCCCATGGAAGAAAGGATCCAGACAATCAAAGAGCCAGATTCTGCTCAGTGAGAGACAGTCAACTATCTCAGCAGTCCAATCTGGTATAGTTGACACTGCTATCGCCCTTTCATCAATCTATCGTTCCCACTCTCGTAAATGCGAGGAAGGTAGGACAGGGATAGGTGGCCCAACAGACAAGCGTCACTCTCTCATACATTTCCAGTGAGAGGAAGGATAACCAAAAGATTGCATGCCAGATACCCAAATCCCTAGAGCAGTGGATCTCAACCATTTCGGACTCAAGGCACCCCTCCATAACTTTTGTAATTTGAATGGCATCCAGTTTCAAAAACTAATTTATATATCATAGCACTTACCTCTTTGTAGAGGGTTTAGGCCTTTGGCCTGGAGAATCAGCCAGGCATGGGCAACCCTTAGCCTGTGATTATTCCTTTCCAACTTGCATCATCCTTCAAAGGATCTGGTGTGGCACCCCACTTGAGAATCATTGCCTTAGAGTTTTCATTAGCAGTCATGCTTCTTGAGGTGTGGATAGACACGGTACAGATGTTATCAGCTCCAAACAATACAGTAAGGGACCTTTGGGTACAGATTGGCCCTGCTTCATATCAATAGCAAGCTCCCCATGGGATACCTGGAGGAAACAGATCTACAAAGATGCAGTCAAAAAGGGTAGAGCCTCTGGAAAGGCTGTACCTGAACTGAAAGTCAATACCTTCACTCAGAAAACCATGAAGGTGCCATATGCATGAGGGGAGACAATAAACTGCACCTTTGAGAAATCAGAGAGAGTTGACAACTTAGAAATATTTTTGGAGCAGCCTCTGAGCTTGATTTTGCTTCCCTCTGAAGTAGGATTATGGAGCCAGTTTCCCAAAGAGAAAATAAAATAACATCACAATTTCTCCTGCACATTTTCTCAGTGTGTGGCATGGTAGAGCAGTGCCAGCTATGGGTGTGCTAATTCCTTTGGTGGAATCGGTGTGTGCAAGTTATTTGCTCATGCAAAAGGGAATTCTTCCTCCTTGGGAGAGGAAGATCAGATGTCTGAATTCAAATGAGAGGCTCAAATTATATTGAGATAAAGCACACAGGCAAATCAGTTCCTGGATTTTAGGGAGAAACGATGAGAAACTTTATGGAAAGTTTAGGCCCCAAAGAATCATTTGAAAAGTCTACTGATAATCTTGGTTCCTGCTCAGTCTAGAGAGAGGTATACCTATTCTGGTGCTTTTAGTTATCATGGCTGATGGGGTTTTTGTTCAGTAAGGAAGAACATGAGAGAATAAAAGAAATTTCTAATTTTCTGGATAAAACAGAATTTCCTATTTCTGTGTGCAACGCCCATCAAAAGGAGATGCATCCCAAGATATGGCTGAGATTTGATTATTGTAAAGTCTACACTAGAAATTTTTCATAAGTGGATTCGGTGGATTGGTGATTTTTCTACATTATGTCTGGAAACAACAATAATGTCCTCGCCATGTGCCATAACCCAGTATGCATGTATGGGCAATGTTTCTGGTTATGCCTTCTCTCATTTGTCACTGTTTCAGAGGGTTGTACAAAAGATTGTACGGCAGGTATGGAATTTAAACTTGATTAACCTGACTTTGGACCTTCCAATGCCACTGTCTCATGGAGGTCTTCTCTTACAAAATAGTTGCGTAGAACTACTATCTCATGGATCCGAGAAGAAGGGGAATTGACAGCATGTTGACAAAAATAGTTTTACATAAATGCCAGCATGAAATACTCCAACCTCACTGTCATAAAGCACAACTTTGGAACCTTATTCTGCTCCTTTCAGCATTACTCTGATTGAACACCTTCAGGAATTATCAGTATACTTCCTATCCTTTAAAATAGACTCCAGCTAGCTAATGTGTCCATCCAGGTATATCTAATTCCTATGAGATCCAATGTTATACTTTCAATTATACATGTAGTGTTCCTAGCTGTTGTAGTGTTCTTCCGCAAATTAAATTTTAAAAAGTATTCTTAAGCCTCAAAGTCGGGGGCGGGCAATTATTTTGGGCAGAGGGCCACTTACCCAGTTTTGGCAGGCTGTTGAGGGCCACATGGGTAGCCCCGCCCCTTGAGAGGTGCCCCACCCCTTGACAGGCACCCCACCCCCGCTCACCATCTTGGGACCAATGTCCCAGGGCCAGCTCCGGTGAGGCCCAGAGCGGGGCACAGGCCGGCAGGGGTCTGTGGAGCTAGGCTGGGCTGCACCAGTGGGGATGGGGGAGCTGCCCGGCTCCATAGAGCTCCTGCCAGCTGGGACCCCATGCTTCTGGCACCCTGCTTTGGGCCCCACCAGCACTGGTCCCGGAACACTGGTGTGCGCCCTGTGCTCCCACTGCCTCCCTGCTCGCTCGCACCCAGTGCCCCCCCAACCCCACAGTACAGGTAGGGGGCAGCACACAGCCCCAACCCCCTACTCACCAGCAGGGAAGAAGGTGCTAATCATGGGGAAAAGTGGCCCCTCACCTGCCCCATGGCCGGCGCCCCGAGCTGCAGGCACTCACAGCCCACGTGGGGCTGTCTGCAGCAGGCACAGGCAGCTTCATGCAGGGTGCAGGTGGCTGCAGCGCGGGGCGCTGGCCATGGGCAGGCAGGGGGCCACTTTTCCCCATGCTCAGCATCAGCTTGTAACCCGCCCCACTGCCAGCCTGGCAGTGGGGCCAGGTTACAAGCTGGTGCCAAGTGCAGGGTGGGGAGAAAGCTGCCCCTCCCTGCTCCATGCCCGGCGCCCCTCACTGCAGCCGCTCGCAGCTGGCCTGGGGCTGCCTATGCCTGCTCCGGAGAGCCCTGCTCAGGCTGCAAGTGTCTGCAGTGCGGGGCGCCAGCCATGGGGTGGATGAGGGGCCCCATTTTTGACAGGAACCAAGGGCAGAAAAATATTAATTTTCTACATTTTTTTAGGGGCCCCACGGCCTGGATAGAATGGCCTTGTGGGCTGGATCCTGTCCACGGGCCATATTTTGCCCACCCCTGCTCAAAGTGCAATCACTAGAAGCCATGTCTATCTCGGTAATCAGCTAGGCAGCCACATGGCCTTCATCATGTAAAATCACCAAATTCTGCACGTTAGTCAACTGATCTTAGGTAACTGCATTTTATGTTAGAAGTCCTCTTCATATCTTTATTCTCAGTAGGAGGTGGCATATATATTGCTTATTAGGGATGTCCAAGACAAAAGGCTTACTGGACATAAATGCTACAAAAATTCTGTTGTAACAGGTTGGTAGAAATCCATGCTATGAATAGAAAAATTATTCTGTACTTACCTGAACAATTCTTTTCCTTGAGATAAATCTGTCCCATCTGGAGAAAAATGGATAATTTAGAACAAAAATTTGGGTGTTTCATTTGCGGAAAAAATCCCGATCTCTGCAACAGGAAATAAATATGGGTTTTTTTTCTTTTAAGTATATTTAACATAGTTTGGAATTTAGGAAATTGAAATGAATTTATCCTGGCTGTGAAAGTCTCTAATATGTTGTTACCTTGGTTGATGCTTTTATTCTATTAAATTACTTTCCTTATTATGCAGAAAGATTTAAGACACTTATTGCTATTTAGCTTGATAAAATTTGTTGCTGGTTCTGCTTCTCTGACACAAGTTCATCTCTTTGGAAAACAAAATGTTCTTAAGGGCTGGTCTAAATCTATGGAGTATATTTCTACAGGAATAAAGACCAGGAAAGGCCTCAGCACTTTCATCTCTGAGTGCGAGTTCCTTTCATTTGACCTTGTGCTATCTCTCACAAACACTTAACAAAAACACACATGCAACAAAAGCACTCCACCTAAATGCTCTTCTGGTCTTAGGGAGTGGATTAGAGGACAAAAAACACTAGATAGCATGATACTAGTGTTGCTTAACATGCTGCCAGAAGGTACTCAGGTACTTGAATAAAACAGAATAAAATACTTTTGTTTCTTGATAAAAATGAAGTCTTTCCTTATTGTTTCATACATACTAATCTTTTTACTGTAGTCAGAGGAGAAATGAGGGTTCCTGAAGAAGCACTTAAGGTAATAGTATGCAATCATTATGTATACTACAGTCTTCAGTGTAGGTATTGCTATAATTTGTGTCATTTTTTTCCATTTTTGAGCCTTGTTTGTTTGTGTCTCAGCATGAAAAATTCACGAGTCAGCTCCAGTTATCCCAGAAATCCTCAGAGATAGAAGGATCAAAGTCAATCAGCTCCAAAGGTACAGAGCCAAAGGTACCAGATGCTATGACTGAAATGCATCACAAAGCTACAGAAGCATTGAAATCTGAAGAAAAATCTATGGGTGAGAAGTTTATGCACCAATTAATATTATAATTTGTGAAGAGCTATAACTTTTTTTTCAAATTTTTGGGCAATAGGTATAAATATAAATAGTCAGCAATAGAGACTTATTTTTAAAATGCACTCAGTATATGTATGCTCTGAATGGAATTTCCAACTTCCTTTATAATGACATCTAACCATAAATCTAAAATAAGGCAAAACTTTTTATTTCACAAATTTCCTATCATACCCTCAAACTTTGTGAGTTTTGATAATTGATAATAATTGATGCCTCTAGTTTGAGCTGTTCATTTTGTTTACATTGTTGTAATAATACATAAAGCTTGAGTAGTCAACCAAAACCCTGTGGTGCAAGACTTTAGAACAGGGGTAGGTAAGGTTTTTTTGGCTGGAGTGCCAAAAACCCCCACAATGCCTACCTTGGAAGGTGCTGGAGTGCCGGCATGCCAGAAAAACAAAATGAGGGCAGAGGGTACACGGCAGGATGCCCTGCTTGTGCCCCTTGCCCCCCACCTGAAGCCGCTGCCCCCCTAGCCCTGCTGCCTCTTGCCCCCCAGCCAAAGCCCCTGCCCTCCAGCCCTGCTCATGCCCCCTGCCCCCCAACCTTGCTTCCCTGTGGCTCCCAGCCAGAACCCCTGCCCTTCGCCCCTGCTGCCCCTTGCCCCCCAGCCCTGCTCATGACCCTTGCCTCCCACCCAAAGCCCCTGCTGTCCTGCCCCCCAGCCCAGGCTCTGTGGCTGTCAGCAGCTACCCAGAATCTGGGCCAGCTGTAGACATCTGCTGCCTCCCGGCCCTGCGCTCCGGGGAGGCAGCGTATACCAGCAGTGATCCCTGCTGTGCTGCCCTCGCCACTTCTGCCAAGTGTTGGAACTTGGTGCAGCAGGGCACAGCATGGGGTTCCAAAAGCTGCCTGCTTCCAGCTCCCCACTGCCCTGCCACATTTCCCCTGTGTGCATGAGAGCAGTGTGGGCAGTATGCAGGGCTGTGCCCCTCGCTGCTGCCCCCACCTGCAGGGGAAGTGTGGCAGGGCAGCCGTGAGCTAGGAGCAGACAGCTTTCTGCGCCCCCTGATGTGCCCTGCCACACTGAGTTCCAACGCTGCTTTGCAGAAGCAGCAAGGGCAGCACAGCGGAGAGCATTGCCGGTATGTACTGCCTCCCCGGAACCCGGGGCTGGGTCTCCAGCTGAGAGGCAGCCGGGGCTGGGGCCAGGGCGGAGAGGCAACAGATGTTTGCAGCTTGCCCAGGTTCTGGGTAGCTGCTGACGGCTACAGAGCCTGGGGTGCTTGCAGCCAAGCTTCCATGGGAGCAGCCCAGGCTCCATGGCTATCAGCAGCTACCCAGAGCCGGGCCCAGCTGCACCCAGGAGGCTACAAACAGCTGCTGCCCTCCTGCCCCGGTCCCAGCCGTCTCCCGGCCCTGGGCTCAGGGAAGGCAGCAGGTACCACCACTGTGCCCACTGGGGCCAGGGCCGGGGGTGGGAAGGCAGCAGCTGTTCGTAGCCTCTCAGCTCTGGGTAGCTGCTGATAGCCATGGAGCCCAGGCTGCTCCCAGCTGGCAGCAGCTACCCAAAACTGAGGCCAGCTGCAGCCAGGAGGCTGCAAACAGCTGCTGCCTCCCTGGCCCCAGTGTGTGCCGAGGAAAATGACCTTGTGTGCCATGCTCAGCGTGCATGCCGACCCCTGCTCTAGAAGGATAAAAGGACAGCCCCTGCCATAAACAGTTTATAGTATTGTTCAAAAGCAATTTTATAGTTTCTAGTGTTGGTCTTTAAAATATTTTTTTTCATATATTTGCGGTAGATTTGAATTGAGTTCAGAACAGGAACATCATAAAGTCCCTTAATTCAACTGCAAGATTTGTTTGTCTGTTATGCTATCTGTGTAAATACCCAAATGATAACTGCAAGATGAGGGAAGAGCCACATTTTATATTATTTCTAATATAGGGGTAACTAAGCCTGGCTTGTGCCATACAAGGTCAGGTGATTCTGTTATGATAAGTACTCCTTTCTTCAATATGTCTATTGTCAAATAATCTTCAGAGGTCATCTGCCCACTAAACTTACCAAACTTTATAAATACATGTTTGAGCTATGCTGTTTTTAAAATGAGAAATAATATAGCCACATCCAGGCCATATATAGCCAAAATTGTTCTCATGGATTGGGGACGATATCACTTGCTTAGTTAGCGTGCTCATGATTGCACATATGTGCTGGTTATAAAAGGGTTTGACCGCTTTTTAGGTGTGGTGGGTCAAATGAACAGAGTTCATTCTGAAAGTAGGCTGCTGTTTCCAACCTGGCCACCACTCCCCTACTGCTGCTACCACTGATTCCCTCAGCGAGCCAATCAACAAACACAGGCTGTATGACATTGCTTTGCAAGTCTGATGTTGATCTTGAGCCCAGTAAGTTTACCATGTAGACATAGGTCAGATCTCTCAGTAGTTTATAATACTGTGTAGCATAATTAATTAGTCTTTTGTTTTGGAGAGGTAGGAGGGTTGGTAAGTTCAATGCCTACTCATGCGTGTATGAAATCATCTTTTCAATTTAGCGTTTGTAATGGATTTGCTTTTCTGGAATCCAGAAACTGTTGTTTTACACAAGGTTGGGCAATATTTCTTGCCTGCTGACACCTACCCCAAACAAAAACCCATAGAATAAGAAAGCAGCCTTAGGTAATGCATTCACACTAGCACTAACTTGGAAGTCTTTCTGGATATTGCTTTACACCTGCATATGTACATATTTTTTACTGTTATTCATTCAGTTAACCATATGAGAAATGTGTACTATCATGCTTTTAGATACTTCAGTATATTCTAATGTAAAGCTTGGTTTTGGAAGAAAACAAATTTGAAATTTGTATAGATGAAAGCATATGAAGTGGTTATTACATTTACTTTGGGTGAAGATTAATTCCCTGTAAGCCATTTATTAATAACTACTGTATATACATTCATGAGCAGTCCATAAATTAAAAAATGCACATTATGGAAATGGTCTTTTTTTCATAGCATCTGAACAGTATATATTATTGCAAAATATGCAGTTCTTTAAGATATGTTATTCTGCTTTCCAGACAAAAACATGATTAAGTGATAGCAATTTGGGAACTGATGCATCAGTAACTGTGTACATATTTTTCTCAAGAGTTAGCTATAATAGTATTAAAACACCAAAGATCTAATCCATGAGAACATCTGTATGATACTGGAAATTAAAAAAATTATATGACAGTCATTTTCTTTCAGTTAAATATTCCTGTAACATGCATTGCTAAGCTAACTATTTATTATAGTCTGTGCAGTTTGTTATTCCTTAGTAGCTGTCAGCTATTTAGAACCTTGGCAGCATTACAGAATTTGATCGTTTTTACATGTGATGGTTCAGATTCTAGTTAAAGGTCAATGTGGATAAAAGTGACTCTTTCACAAGAATAGTAGCAGTTAGTTTTTGATAATGTGCAGATACTGAGATGACTTAAATGAATTCAGAAAACAATGTTTAAAAACACTGTGAAGTACTGATGAGACAAGTCAACTGAATTTGCATAAGTGCTTAAGCAAGCAGTTCTGGTCAGGTCATTTGTGAGCTTTTATATTTAGAACATGGATCACTTATCCAGACTTTAAACTGGTTGTGTATTTGCCTGAATGTATACAATCAAAACGCTACTGCTTTCAACACAAAAAATTTTCCTGGTTATTCTCTGATATCTAAGCATTGCAAGTAAATGTAAGACTAACTTCTTTTATTTTGGAACATCCCTATAGATCTTTCTGCAATGCCTCGTGGTACGCCTTTATATGGACAGCCGTCATGGTGGGGTGATGATGAGGCTGAGGAAAAAAATGGTTGCAAGCAAGAAGGCAAACGTGAAGAAAAAATTCATGAAACAGGAGCTTCAGGTAAGTCTATTTCAAAGACATTCCACTTCAGAATATTTACTTCTTATTAAAGTAAACTCTTAAAATACGGGACTGCACAGGTAAGAGTTCTAGGAAAAATAACATAGTTGGTGAGTAATGATACATTAATCACTCCTGTATCCCGTTTACTTCTGGAAAACTCCACTGACTAATGTGTATCTGAATTCCATACTGCAGAATTGCATCTCTGTCTTGATATTTTGTTTTCCCTGTTTTTCATGACTGCTGGAGCTGTATGCCCCAAAGTTACTAGGTCCATTAAACTCAAATCAGGGTTAAATCTTGACTCAATTGAAGTCAATGGTAAAATCTCTCATCGACTTCAGTAGAGCTAGGTTCACTTTAGTCAACTACAGCCAAGATGCAGTAGCCAGACATTTTCTCTAAATATTTAATAAACTTATGCTTATATGGAAAATACAAAACCTGGGGGAGGTACTTATTATGCAAGTGCATTTAATCTAAATTATAGCAAATGAGCTTTTGTCAACCATAGAGTTGATTCCACTTTCAGTCATTAACATTTAATTAATTGTAATATCTCTTCTACTTTTAAAGTCAAATACTAAGATTTGCAAAGAAAACTCATATTGTTCAGCCCTAATATATCTAAATAGAATTTTATTATTTCTGTTAGTTGTTCAAATTTGTATTATTTTTGTAAAATACTTGGACACAATTTACAACCTTGGGTTCCTATCATTAGGCATATAAATAGAAGTGGATTGATTTTTTTTTTTTTTCTCAAAAGTGCTGTGTATCGAGAAATCCCACTGATGCCAGAATGAAACCAGATCACTTTTATGTAGATCTTAAATATAGATTTTAGGAATGCAAACTTACCCATATGTATATATGTTTGAAGTGTTTCTTTAATTTAACTTTTTTAAATTGGAACTATATTTGTTTCCTCCTGACTGTAACAGTGACTTGCACAGCCAATGGTAAGTTTTAAAGAGGTTTTTTTATAAACTCACTTCAAAGTACCCCAAAATATAATGAGTTTTGTATTGTATTAGGAAGTCTTGAATTTTGCTCCCTAATAGCTCCTGCTACCAACCTATAGAATAAAATCTTGGGATTTTGGGTTAGTGGGTAGAAAGCAGGTGAAGAACTATAAAGTGGTGAGATTTTTATGTAAAGGAAAACTTTTTGTCGCTTCTGGAATTTTTTATGATTCATTTTAAGTCTTGTATAGATAACTGAGTTTTACAGCTAGATACATATAGAAATAGTTGCAATAAAATTGTGTGAAACTAAAAATTTTTACAAGAATTTTTGTAGTATGTATGTAGCATAAATATAGATACATGATGCAAGTATAAAGATTTTGAGTACTTTTTTGACAGATGTCGCGTAACGTTCTTATGGCTTTCTGATCCCATTTTCATCTTGATTAGAAGCTTTCTCAAAAGCTACTATTTATGCAGCATTTTTGCTCACATTTTCCTAACAAGGGACAGGTAAAATTCTTTGATTTCTTTGGCATTTTATCTTTGATGACAGCTTTCGCATTCTCAAGCAACACTCATCCCTGAATGTCTTCTGAAGAGAAACAAGTGACAACCAGTTGTCTTATGTTTCCGTCTCTGTTTCTGTCACAATACGGAAAAATCAGTTAAACCACTCCCTCCCTAAAATCCTCAGAAAAATAGTATTTGTAAAGGCAAATTGAAAGAGATGAATTTTAACATCATAAAGATCTTACTCTGTCTGTGTGTATGTATGCACATGCTCTCTCTCTCCCTCTTAAGCTTTTCAGTGCACTCCCTTTAAGCTATTAAATGCGTGGCTGTATCAGCGAGATTATTCTACTCTGCTTTTTTAACTTGGTTATGAGCATAAATCATTTTGTTATGAAACGTACCTTCCGCTATTCTGAAGCAGTTGTGATGTCTCCACCGCTTTCTTTGCTCTCTTTAAAACAGATGCCACCATTTGTGGCATTGATTTCTTTGTATGTCAGTGTTCTTGACCATCTTTCTGATTTACAGAAGGAATATTTTAATTGGATGTGTGAGGATACCCAAGATGTATAGTGTGTTGAAAGAGCACCAAGGAAGTAAAAATAAAATGTTAATGGCAAAGGTTATTTTGAGGGATATTTTTCACAGTTGCTTATATCCATGTTTATTAGTTTAATGCCACATGTGTATGGGATGGGTGTTATTTCTTGTTATATTGAGGGCTGTTTTTAAAAAGTTATAAAGATATGTTGTATTGAAATAACACTACTGTTAGGTAACTTCCAAATATCACAGACAGTGATTAATTCTTTAATGTGATTACATACTTTGTTTCTTCCCCCCATATTAATGCTGCTTTCTTCAAAGTAATGCAACGCAAATCGTTTATGAAACTGTGGAATAGCCTTTATGATGTTCCCTGAATTCAAAAAAAGTAAAATAAGTAAAATAATTCTGCCTCTAATTAAACTGAATGATCCATAAAATCCAATACTATGAGCAGTTGATTATAATAAATGGACAATTCAAGAGGGTCATTTTGCCTTCTTGCATGATAAACAGTGTATGATCTCAGACATTTAAAACAACCAAATTAAAAAACATCCTGTTGAAACACTGTTCTTAATGCAAAAACTGTCTAACAAGTAAATTGCAGGTTGAATTCCTCTTTCTAATTCTTTGAACTTTGTTTAGTTCCATAAATTTAAGGCAAAGCCAAATAACTTCCTATTACTATTTAACAAATTAATCTCAGTGACAGTGTCCTTCTCACTTTAACAAATAGAAAAATTGTTCTCCCTTGAATAGAAGGGAAAGTATATGTTACAACAGATGGGGCATAGTTTAATCAAGAAGTTGTGGGGGATTTGTCACTGATAAATTAACTATAGACTATTAGCCTTTATAGACTTAAATTACTAGGATTATTTTGGTATTACTGTCTTTCAGCTCTAATGGAACTCTAATGGAAGTTGTTGGTAGTAAACAGAGTACAGTATGGTAGCCCAGTTGTAGACAGACCTGTTTCTTTTTTTAGTGTGGTGGGGTGGGGGAATATTGATCTAATTTTACAAACCATGAACCCATAAAATGGTATAGACGCACATAATTTCCTGCCACAATGATTTAATGCTACCCAAGATTATTGTTTTCAAGCCCAATTTAAGGTACCATGCATTTTTTTTTAGCTTTCAGTACTTAACATAAGTACATAGGTAACTACTATGTCATATCCTTATGTTCCTAATATAAAACTATTTGTTGCTTTCACTGACTGTTCCAGAATTTAGCATTGCTAATTCTACTCACCTGAATTATATTGCTCCCATCTTAAATTTGTAGGAAATGGAGACGGAAAACTTGTTTTTAAATTCAGCTTAGGGCTCTAAATAAAAAAAAAAGTAACTTATACAGAGTTTTTTCTAATAGGTACTTTTATTTTTGAACACGAAAATAGTATTTTAATGCGATATATCAAGTTGTCTTACATCTAGCAAAAAAGATTTTGAGGCGAAATTTAAAATAATAAATCCCTGGCAGAGAATTTAGAAGGCTGTTAGAGTTGTTCATTAAAGTTTCTTCACAGTAAAGCCACTAAGCAAGTGCTTAAGAACTTTGCTGCAGTTGGTACATAGAGTAAGTGGGTGTTGCCTAGGTAAGACCTGAATATAGCAGGGTTATGAAAGTAAATGTGCACAGCATGTGATAGGAAGCACTTAAACTTGTAAAAGTGAGTCTTTTAAAAGATATTTAGATGAAAAAAGATTTTCTAGTCTTGTATTTCATTCATCTGCCAAGCATTGGTATACATAAAGATTACCAGTTTCTTAGCAAGCAGCCTTGATGGCAGTTGGGAGCAGATACTTTAAAGTGCTGACTCTAAAATGTGTGAAAATACTTATGTTTAATAGCAAATTATAGTAAATTATAGATTTTCCCCTTAATATCATTAATATGGAACATGAAGTAAAATCATAAAATTGTGAACCTTGAAAGGTCAGTGTGCATCTCATATTCGCATCAAAAGAAATGGAGTAAACTTGAGTATTATGGGAAAGAATATACAGCAGAAACTAATACATTTAAATTTATCTAGTAAGCTTTGATGCTGGGCCCAATAACAAACCAATCTGTTACAATAGCAAAAAAGATAGCAACTGAAGAGTTTTTCCTCCTGCTCCTGTTCTGACATTTTTTTTTTTAAATCTACCTACTGTCAGAAGGTGATTTTGTAACATTTAGTACATTCATAATTAAAATTCATTTAGTCTTCTATAAATGAGGAAAGAATACAAAATCATACATTACAAAGAGCAGAAAAGATAATTTACAGATAAATAATCTATTCATAGTAGATACTATTTCTGAACACCACTTCCTTTTTTTTTTTTGTTGCAGAAATGAATTATCAGTGCCTTAAAGAAACCTTTAGTTATGTAGGCAGTTTCCTGCTGTAGATGAATTCCAGTGACTAACAATGAGTACCTACAGAGATTTTTCCTGTCTGGTAGAGCAAGTGGAATTTTGGGTCTTTATGATGATTCAAAGTTAATCTCGCTTTTTTGTTGTTTTTGAGACATGAATTCATACTAGCTGAATAATTTCCTTAATCAATTTAAGTTAACTAATGTTAGCCAGGATTCTTCATATCCTCTTAATACATGCACTACTCTTTCATGAAGAATCTCATGGATCACCCCTCCTTCTCTTCATGATCACACATACCATATCTCTTCCAACTCTTTTTCTACGTTTTTCTTTTGGGGTTTGTTTTTTTACTTCCCCCCATGGGTTCAAGACATCGCTAGGAGCAACTACAGTGCTCTTTTTGGTTCCTGACTTATGCCTCCCCCCACCGTAGTTTTCCTGCCCTCCTCCACTGTGTGCAGATCCTCACTCCTTGCTTTCCAAGATAGCCTTGTTCCCTTTTCCAGGCTTCCTGCATACACTTTCCAGTGAGTTAGCTTCAACTTCCTTCAACTGTCAGCCTCATTGCATCTCTTCTGCAGCTCTAAATACTAATTGCTTTTCTTCTCTGTTTCAAAGTTGGAAACCATTTTCTTTCACCTCTGCCTTTTCCTTTCCTCCCAGCACAAATCTATGGCTGTCTTATCCCCAACTCATTTACCACACTGATCATTTATGATCCATTCACAGACCAGTTTTTATGGGTTTTATTTAATTCATATCATAGTTATGAATGATGAACCACATTTCTGGTAAGTGTTGCAGAACAGCTTGCTTATGGAGTTGCCTTTCAGTATGATTTAGCTTTTATACCGAAATGCAAATTTCTCGGGCACTGCAAATTACTTTGATATTGGGACGGCAAAGGTAAGGTTATTCTATACAACTTCCTTCCTATTAATACCTGCAAATTTTAACTGGCATTGCAGATTAACAGTAGATAAGTGAAGTTATTATCAATGAAGTATTCCAGGCATTGTGTGCTTTTAAAGTGAAGAGGGCTAACATAACATAATGTTCTTCCTAATGTTTCATGATGATCTGGATCAGGATCAACATGGAATTTTTGTTTTTTTCTGTGCTATGTTTTGCTTTATACTACAATGGAACATGAAATGTAATATATTTGGGATTTCCTGTTTTTTGTTCTACTTAATCCTGGTAAACCTGACCTTTTACAACACCAGTAAATACTGCAACTTAAAAAGAGAATATTTTTAGCTACTTTTTAAATTTTTTTTGTAAACTGAGCAAAAAAATGTTCTATAAAATTTGTCCTTATGTAGTAAAAAATGCTTTTATTATTCAGTAATTCATGATGATTTCTTCTTAAATGATTTGAGGAATCCATTTTGTCATAATTTAGGTTGAAACTAGATTATGATACTCAGTTAAAGTAGAAAGTATTTAATCAGGTTTTGTGCATTTTGTTTATATTAAAAGTGGTGCTGTCATCTGATATCAGAATATTTGTACTTTCTAATCTGTTCTAGTTTCAATTTTTAAATTTGGCACAATAACTAATTTCCTGAAGGAGGCTACTGTTAGTGACTGAAAACAATTTATGTGCCTTTTACTGAGAATTCTTTATATCCTGTTAGATTCCAGAAGTGAGGATCTAGGATGGATGTACACTAATCCAGTCATCCCACCCTAACATCATTCATTCTTGAATATTTCCAGCAGTTGTACTACTCTCAAAGTAGTTGAGACTGTCAGGTTCAAATAGCCTTATTTTCTAGGTTTTCATCATCTTTTTCTAAAGATGTACAGTGCAGAGAATAAATCAGTGCTTCACAGAAAAGCAAATGTTTCCTGAAGAACAGCAGAAACATTTAAAACTAGGCACTTTTTTCCTTACTACGTGCCACCCACCTGTGACTGTTAGAAATGTATTTACACTACTATTTTATTGGATAACAGATTTCATGTATAAACTTTCAGTATCTTGGTGAATGAAATTTGGCTCCCTTCAGATGAACAAATTGAGAGTATTCGGTATCTTTACCAAGCAACCTAAAACACTTTTTATTTTTCCTCCAAATCTTGGTATGACTCATAGAATGAGTAAGAACTGTTCAGAGTCTCTGCTGTTTCATCTAGCATGCAGCTGCTACTAACTTCTAAACAAACATCTATTGCTTATTGTGCATTCTTCAGCCAGATACTTTGGCTTTAACTAATGCAAATAAAAGCCAGTTTTCCTGAAGAAATATGAATGGCTTTTGTTACCAGCACCCTGGAAGCTTGAACCTAATATTTATTCTGAATGTGTAGTGGGACTCATTTCCCACCTCACATCCTCATCCTTCCTGCTTTCTTTGCTCCATTCCAAAGCATGTTGCTTATAAAGTTGCTATTGTTTAAGCCTGCTTTTTCTGTTTTACGGTTTAGATTAACATGCAAAATAGGGGCAGGTAACGGATTTAGAGCAGTTCTTGGTTTTACCTTTTGTCGAAATAAAAATATTTGTATTTTAATGCCTACTCTTGTCCTCTTTTAAAACTTTCACAAAGGAACTCTTGTTTACATAATATTGTTTGGTTTCTTTTTTTCCAATCTTGCTCAACAAAAATATACTTAATAGAAAATGAAGTCCATGTAAATTAAGGGTACCCATAAATATAGTCAGTAGCCTTTTGATGGTTTCCAAGTAGTTTGGAATAGTGACAGTTTTTCCAAGTGTTAGGTCTTACAATTTTTTATTCTGTTTATCATGTTGCTACTAATGTCTGTTCTTTACATCATTCAAAAATCTGTGGTAGTGCAAATTTTCTTTGGCAAAATCGGAGTGAGCTTTCTGCCACTTCGTAGTGCCCTACAGTCAAGGCTGTCCGCTTTTCAGGGACACTTTTCATGTAATAGAAATAATTTACAGTTTCTGAACTATGTTGTTCAGTCTTTTGCACAGATTAGTGCTATTTTTTGAGGAATCACTCAAGTGCCCTTATAGGAATCCTGAAATTTCTTGAAGACCTTGAAGTTCCCAAGTGTTGTGAAATCTATTTTTTATTTTTCTTAATAGGATGCAGCACAGATACCAAGCAAGTTGAGGAGCATTCTGCATCTGCAAATGAAGAACTTTATCCTTTCTGTAGGGAGCCAAGTTACTTTGAAATCCCTACAAAGGAATTCCAGCAAACTTCACAGATAGAGGAGAATGCTATCCATGAAATTCCAACAAAAGACACACAAAGCTCCCATGCAGCAGGTGCTGGGCATGCTTCATTTACCATTGAATTTGATGATAACACCCCCGGAAAAGTAACAATCAAAGATCATGTGACAAAATTCACTTCAGATCAACGACATAAGCCGAAGAAGTCGTCATCTGGTGGTCAGGACCTGCCTGCGCTTCAAACAGTGATGATGGCTGCTGAGAGCAAAGTAGCTGACTGGCTAGCACAGAATAACCCCCCTAGAATGATATGGGAACCAACAGAAGAAGATTCAAAAAGTATTAAGAGTGATGTTCCAGTTTACTTGAAGAGACTGAAAGGTAAAGTGAATAGTTCCAGCTGTGATTATTTCTGAAGGCCTTGATCCTTCACTGAAATCCAGCAAGTGGACCCTGTTCCTTGCAGAGTCCAGATTAAGTCATTAGTACTCCACATGTACACAGGGATATGTGCTAGCTAATTTCATTGCAAGATTGATCCTTAAAAAAGAAAACAATTACATGACTTCACCGTGAGTATACCAACTGGAGTTTTGTTGAGTTTTTGTGCAATAAAAATATCGTGTGTTCCAAAAGATTCTTCTTTAAAAGAAAAAAAAAGCATCTCAGTTACATTTTTATGCAGTTCACTTATTAAGTGTTTACTTGTTTGAAAAAAGTTGTTTGCTTTTGAGAACCAAAACTCATAAATTCAAATACGCTTCTGCAGATCTTTCACCAGCAAATATTCAATAAATGGCTTCTGTGCTATGGTCACATTCATGAAAGCTAAACAAAGTTTGCATTAGGTGTATGATATTCCGCATGTAGCTACTTCACTTAAAATGCTAATTTTGGAGGATCAATTCCACTTTGTCAGTATCCTAAAAAAACAAAACAAAACTCCTCAAGAAATTCCATTTTGCAAAATGTCATGCTACATGTGCTCGAAAGTAGTTTTATCAACCAAAATACCTGTTGATTTTAAATGTTTGTGTATTGCAGGCATCGCATCCAATATTTCAGTTGAAAACAAATAGGTGGCAATGATAGCTTTTTAAAACTTCCATTTGAGGTTCTGTTAAACAGTTTAAGGGGAAAAACCTCCTACAATTTGCTTATGCAAATTGTGATGCCATTCAGACTTTTGGAAAAGAAAACTTGTTGGTATTTTTTTTAATTTTTGCAAATTACTTGCTTTTTTAATATTCTGCCTGCTAAACTGTGATGTTCCTCTTTTCTTGATCTTGCTTCATAAACTTATTATTCTGTTCAGCCAATTGGGATAGAATCATATTGATCAGAAATTTGATTTTGAGGACTATCTTTTCCAAACTAAACTTTAAAGCACAAACTTTGAAAACATCTATAACACGATGCTAGGGGTTAATGGGACTGGGTTACTATTACCACAGTGTCTCTGGTGGATGTGACAGTGACTTCTTTGCTATTCATGACATTGGATTGTATTACACTGTAAACATTCTTGAAAACATAAGCCACATTACTCTGAAAAATCAGAACTGTTGCTTATACAAGCATATGCTTACAAGGCTTTGGGGCATTTTGTGGTAGCAGAAACTAATGAATAATTTTTACATTTTTGTCAACTGAAAATGCTTTTGACATAACAAACTCTGTTCTTAAGTATGCTCCATATCATAGGTTGTCTCTTAAATTTCCTCTCGTCTTATGTCCCAACAGCCACTCTGAAAACTTGACTCTTGTTTCTAAAAATTTTGGTGAACAATGGCAAGGTAGTGGTAGCACCACGAAGCTGTAGTCCTGGTCCAGGATTCCCAATTTCCTAAGCCTTGTGCAAACACCCAACAGAGTTATCTGTGTTCCAAAGAGAAATTTGCTAAATAATTTGAGAAACAAGGTTGTGATGAATTTTTAATTTTAAAAGAGCATAATGCTATCCATGCAGCCACATGGATGACTGTTCTATATTGCTTTTGGGGCCAGTGATTCTCAGCCATGGTGCCACAAGAACCTTTGAAGGGTGCAGTAAGGTATGAGGAGCTAAGCAGATAAGAGCAAGCTCAAGTTCCTCCCTGCCTGGCCCCTGTTCCCCTGCCCCACTGTTTGGGTCCTCTGAAAGGATGTAAGCAATGTAATAAATTAAGTTTCTGAAAAGGGGTGTCACCCAATTCACAAAAGGGTATGGAGGCATGCCTTCAGTCTACTGAGTGGTGCCTTGAGTCTAAAAAGCGTGAGAACCATTCATCTACCTAGTATTTCTGTTTCTGATAAATTTGAACACTTTGTAATCCTTGTAACATTCAAAATGGGTGATTTTCAAACATAAATCTGATAATTATTAGTTACTGCAGGGGTCAACTGTTCTTGGGCAGAGTACCCAAAACACCCACAAACTTGACCTGTAAGATGTTGGTGTAACAGGGGTGGATGGCAGGGGAGCTGCAAGCGGCCTGATCCTTGTGGCAGTGCAGCCTGGCCCCTTCCCCATGCCAATACTGCCAAGCAAAATGCCTTTGTGTGGAAATTTGGCATGCATACCAGAGGTTACCTATCCCTGAGTTACTATATCATTTTTTTTAATAACTAATACTGTGATAATTCAGTTTAATGCTAATAGTGCTTGGTGCTTGATAAGAGACCTATTAAAACAGTCATTGACCAGAAAAGCATCTAATCTAGATAACAGATGCAAAAAGACCCAGCAAAGAAGGAGACTTGGACGAACAAAGTTATTTTGGGCACAGACAAAAATGATGGTTTGTCATGTGATTGGGCCCCTGAAGTGCTCTACAGCTGTGCCCATATGGAAGTGCACGGCTGCAGGGTTCTTTAAAAGTGCCCAATTGCATGACAGTCTGAACCCTCATTATGTGAAGGTTCAGATAAAGGTGCTCAAAAGTGGAGCGCTTTTGTTAGGTTCAGTCACCCCACACCAGGATCAGGAGTGGGCTGATACAGCCCAACCCCACCTCTGATCCTGTCTTCAGAATGGGAGGGAGGAGCTGTATCTGGGGTTTGCCCAGGCTGTGCTGCAGGGTGGGGTTGGTGGATTGGAGAAGACAGCACCATAGTTGTGAGGGGGTGGGGCTAGGAAGAGAACTGGACTTTGATTTCCTGCTGCTCCCTCAATCCAACAGCAAAAGTCTTTTGGGTCTAGCGGGGTTGCTGTAACTCATGGTTCTTCCTGCAAAGCGCCATGAATTAAAGTAGGCAGTGCATGTCTGTCAACACCCTTTATTACATGCTGGGGTTGACACCTGCACAAATCAGTATTTATTTAAAAATCAATTCATGGCTTAAACAAGAACAAACTGTTCAGAGAGAGAATAGGAAGTTGGTGTTGCAATGATTACAGTGTACACAAGACTGCTGTGTCATAAGTTTAATCTGTTTAAAGTAATGTATATTCTTATAAGTATTTTTTTAAACATTCATGGTAATAGTTTTTTCACTTATAAATATACTGTATGTAATAAATACTTTGAAATCTATGGATAAGGTTTGCCAAGCATTTTACAGAGGTGGGTAAGTAGTGATATTCCATATGTCCATTGCTGGCTCCACAGCATTGTTAGTAACTGGTGGGAAAATTCATTGGACTTCTGTGAAAGTATGATAAAGAATTAATGCTGATACTAACTAGATATCCCCTACCCCCTTTCTGGAAACTATGGTAATTAACTGGATGGAAATCTATTCTAAAAAAACACTATTAATAATGTTCCAAACCTGTAGCTCCCAGCAGGTATTCCAATAACAGTGAATGATGTGTAACTATAGCTGTCTTGTATCCTCCCTGGAGCATTTTCAGGGTCAGGTTTCTTTTTCTGGTTCAGTAGTCATTTGTAATCAGCTGACTGCTTAAATAAATGTAATCTGACGGGGAGATATGTTGAAGTAATGAGACCAAGCTCAACTACAGCTGGTATGATATTGTCCATTCTGTAAGTCATTGATTAAATTGTTACAGAATAGAATTTTGGTGAAAAACGTGATTTAAATGCATCTGTGTCACTGTTCAGCTTGTAAAAGGCTTCATTGTTTGACTGGTAGCAGTTGAATGCATTAGTTCGCAGAGCCTGTTACTGAAGATTTATTGGACTCTCACAAACAAACAAATATTTCCACCTACATTTTAATTTGCCAGCTTTTTCTCATGTACTATTTTGTTTAATGTTTGTATTACTGTGCTTTTTCTTTGTCTTGTTTGCAGGAAATAAACATGACGACGGGACACAAAGTGATTCAGAAAATGTTGGTGCCCACAGGCATTACAGTAAACGGGCCACACTTGAAGAACATTTAAGGCATCATCATGCAGAACAGAAGTCGTCATACCAGAAAGTTCACTCTGCAGAAAAGCACCAAGAACAAGCTACTGTAAGTCAGACTGCCTTTATGATTGAGTTTTTTGATGAAGACCATCCTCGAAAGAGAAGGTCTTATTCCTTTTCTCAGAATGTGGGAGGTGTCTGCCCCGAAACGACTTCTCCAACACCTCATGCAAGAGCTGAGAGAGTGAAGCCACCGTCAGGAGACAAAACAGTTTCTTCACCTTTGCAGACTAGCTCTTCACACCACAGGACAGTACATGGTGTTCATGCAAAACTGTTAAAGCAGAAATCTGAAGAGCCTTCTGCTGCATTACCTATCTTACAAACTGTATTGTTAAGGAGCTCTGGAAGCCTTGGGCATAGGCCAGGACAGAGCCAGGAGATGGACAAAAAGTTAAAAAGCCAACCTGTGTCTGCTGCTACTGAAAAGGATAATGATGACGACCAAAGTGACAAAGGAACATACACTATTGAGTTGGAAAATCCCAATTCGGAGGAAGTGGAAGCACGTAAAATGATTGACAAGGTAAGAAATGTAATACTTGTACCACTATTAAAACTGAAATATTTTGTGTAGCTAATGGTACACACACAGCTGCTTCTCATTAAAATTATTGCAATACCATAAACATAACGATACAAGTTCACAATAATATTACTGTATTAGTGTAGTGGAATGTATTAAAAAGATTTGTAGTACATTGCCTTCAAATCTAATATCATTTTTGGAGCTGTTTCAAGTATTCTTTATATACCAGTTTGATATTTCTAAATGTATTTTTAAAAGCAAGTCTTTGTTTACATGGACTCATGCAGACTGAAACTAAAGATTATGATTATAATAATGCCAGAAGTCACTAAATTTGGATTTACTCGATCCCTGTGGAAAAACTGACTTGTTTTAAATCATCTGATCTCTTCCTGTTTTTCAGGGTACAAAGAACAAAAATGACAAATAAGACTATCTCATGTATTCCAGAGTTGTAAATTTAATATGTTGTATTTATAGTTTTTACTGGGGTAACTTTAACTATTTTTAGTATCAGTCGTACTCAGTGGAATGGAATTAAAAACTTACACACATACACATATGCTGTGTGTGTGTGTGTGTGTGTGTGTGTGTGTGTGTGTGTGTGTGTGTGTGTGTGT